CATGCAAAAGTGAACGTGACATAAGCTCTCCCCAAGTGCCCTCTCACACCAGTGAATAGAGTCTCATCTTGAGGAATATGTCAAGAAAAAAACCAACAACACTTTCATCTCAATACGGTGGCAAAAGTGTTATTGTTGCGATATGCCAAGTATGTTATGGCTGTAGAGATGCTCAGCAGCATGAAGGCCACCAGACCCTGTCTGCAGAAGGGGTGAGCCAGAAAACCCTCCCAAGAAGAGGTGAAATGTACACTGAGGCTGGACAATGAAAAGGAGTAGGCCAGACAGAGCGTAGGGGGAGGGCATTCCAAGCAGAAGGAGAGTGTGTTCAAAAGCATGTGTATTCCTTACAGGACTAAAATTAAGCAGATCTTGAGTCTCCTCCATCTTGGGGAAGGAGAAAGGAGGTAACGTGGCCAAATAGTTTCTCAGAAGTAGGCTTTGAGTCACGCTGGAGCTGAGGATACAATGTGGAGTTCTAACACTCCCCCACTCCTCACTCCTTACCCAGTTGGACTCATTCCTTGTTTTGCATGGGGTTTTGGAGACCCTGTCTGGAATTGGGATTTAGACATACACAGACATGACTAACGGTCTGAGGAATCCAGCAGAAATCTGCTTGCTTAAAATCATCAATGCGAGGAAAATTTCCAAGTAAGGAAGGAGTGTGATATAATCAATATTAGTTAACAATAGAGCCTAAAGAGTGGTTCTGGAAAGAATATGAGAGAATTCTCAAACATAGCCTGATCCAGTTCCCTTATGCTAACGCTGTCTGAATATGGCTATAACTCACCAACTTTAAGAAATGGGTCACCTCCAGCCAGTGTAACTCCAGAACAACTTCACTCTCCCCACCCCACACTCCCAAAAAAGAGTGAGCCATGTAGAGATATAGATCTAGAGAGAAATAAGGACTGACATAGCACATTGAGTCGCTATCCCAAGGAACTTTGAAGAACAGGAAGCAGCAGTGACACCCGTGTAAACAGAACGTGGCCCATGGCAGCCTGGTGCAAGCCCATTAAATGGTGAAGAATCTGGAAGCAGGTGATAATGGGATTCCACATGCAGCAGCAGAGAAGAGAGAAGACACCAAAACACATGCCAGAGATCAACGTTAGGTCAGCACACTACATGGCCTAAAAGAGTTAGCAGAAGAAAAATTGACCAAAAGCAAGTAGAATGACTCCCGGGAGGAATGATGAGGATAGCAGCCAGAAGAGTGGGGTGGCAGGGTACAGCAGAGGCATGAATTATATGTGACCAGTCGTGACCACAAGGGATCAAAGAGGGAGAACAGAGTTCCCTTCTCACCACCACTTGGATATCATCTGCCTAGCTGACGTCTCCGCTTGGCTGTCTTTTACTTCTCAATGACTAAAATTCACCTTTATGAAATATTTCTGAGCATCTGGGAGCTCACACCATGGGTCCACTGGGCTTATTTTTTCAGAATTTTAAGTCATTCAGGAAACCATGCTTTTTTAGGAATGTGTTAGGAAGAAAAAATCCAAAGTGTTTATATCCTTCTTTTCCCCTTCTGTGGAAACTCCCTTTATTTTTCTGTTCCCAGTTTCCTGCTCTCCTGAGAGAGTAAGGGATTAGCGTAAATTTAACACCTTGAAGTTGGTGTGTTATAGTCATATTCAGACAGCCTTATTCAACAAAGAAACTAGGACTGCTTATGTTGACAAGAGAAGAAAATGAAATAGATTCCCAGTTAATTCAAGACAACCAATTGCCTTAGCCTTTGGTACTATATTAAGTGATCACATAATTGTGGCTGAGAACACAGAGGTGGTGGCTTGAAGGAAAACTCTAATTGGGATATTATTATTATTTTTTGTGTGTGTGTGTGAGGAAGATCAGCCCTGAGATAACATCTGCCAATCCTCCTCTTTTTTGCCGAGTAAGACGGGCCTTGGTCTAATATCCCTGTCCATCTTCCTCCACTTTATATGGGACGCCACCACAGCATAGCTTGACAAGCGGTGTGTCAGTGCGTGCCCGGGATCCGAACCTTTGAACCCCGGGTCGCTGCAGTGGAGCGCACGCACTTAACTGCTGTGCAACAGGGCTGGCCCCTAATTGGCATATTTTTAAAAGCAATATGGCAGCTCTGAGCTTGCCACAGAATTAAGAGGAGAGATGGAAGCCCTCCCTATGGAGAGCTGGTCTGCAGCTGAAAAACTATGGTCAGCTATTTCTTTCTCTGCTGTTCCTCTCTTCCAATTTAATATAAAATGATGATTTCTTGGGCCAGCCTTGATGGCCTAGTGGTTAAAGTTTGTCATGCTCCACTTCAGCATCCCGGGTTCAGTTCCTGGGTGTGGAACCACACCACTCGTGAGCTGCCACAGCATGGCTCACATAAAAAAAGGCAAAAGAGGCAGATTGGCAACAGATGTTAGCTCAGGGTGAATCTTCCCCAGCAAAAAAAAAAAAAGATTTCTTCTACGTTCATGGGTAGAGAGAACAGACAGTGGGAAACAGAATAAAAGTCCCTCGACCCCAATCTATGGTGAGCCCAAGCAATGGTTTCCCTTTCCAGAATGTATCCTTTATTTCCCACCAACATAAATGGTGGAGAGGAAGAGACCATGCTTGGTTGACAGCAAACAGTTAACCAAGGGAGTCCAAGAGCCGTTCCTTCAGTCTGTGGGGGCGTGGGCGGGGCTGCCACTGCCAGGGACCAGGCGAAAGGCGAAAGGCGCACATTGTGATACTTGAGCTTTCTGTAGAGATAAATAAATTAGCAAAAGAACAATAAGCGTCTTCAACTATGACAATGGGGTCATTTCTTTTAAAAACTTACCCTTAGAGGAGTCCCAAGCATCAGAAGCCCATTCTTCCAATAAAGAAATACAAATCTGGACAAAATAGTTCTCCCTGAATTCTCTTTACAAGAAAATTGATGATTTGAGTATGATAGCCACTCCAATAAAGGCCTAACATTTCTTGATAAATAAAATATTTTCCTAACAAAGAATAAGATGTTCAGAATTGTTAAAACAGCTTGATTGCATCCATGTCTATGTCCAATACCACATGGAAAGAATTCAGTGCTATGAACCGGCACGATTGAAAAAAGCATATTGAGATAAGTGAGAAGGGAACTATGTGGTTTTAAAAAATATAACTTGAACTTCTTTGGAAGGTGTTTGGAAGCAAAAGTTTCAGTTTCTTTAATAAAAAAATGTAAATTTGAACAATCTAATGTAAAATATATTACCAAATATTTTTATGAATGTCCAGCATTTTGTGGAAACTACCTAGTAACGCTGCGCACCTGGCATGGCTGCAATGCTGACCATGGAGCTGGTGGAGTAGAGGGCAACAGGGAGGGGAGGGATCCTGGAAAAACGGAATAAGTGACAAACGAAAGGGTGACTTCAAAGGAGAGGGCAACAAGTGAGACAGCAAAACGAGAACGGGAGAGGGGCAGGAAGATTGAAAAAGAGAAGAAGGTCATCTTAATGAATTCTGCTACTTTCCTGGGAAAAAAAAGGTTAAGAAAAGAAAAACCAGAATTTGCTAAAACAGGAACAAAATAGATACTAAAACACTGCAGAAAAAGCTGCAGAACGGGAACAGGAAATCTGCTGCCCGCTGTCCGCCTCCTCTCCCGCGCGCACATTCAGCGACTCCCTGGCCGGGACTGGCCTCTGTTGCAAGTGGACACTGCGCTCCTCTCCGAGCAAACTGTAGCCCAAAGACTTGTGAATATTTATGTACACTCAGTTACGGTGTATTGTCGGAGCTTAGTCTCCTCCAAGCTGTCTCTAGACACTCAGGAATTTTCTCCTTGGCAATCAGCATAAGTCAGGGTTTCACAAGTCACCGACAAACAGAGGTAATAGGCAAGAACCTTAGGAAAGACATAGAATGACGCTGGGTGCAGATTTGCCGTTCCTCCAGGAACAGCTCTGCTGTCTTGGTACCCTATTAAGCAGTCTCCTTAACTTTAATGTGCAAGGGGGTCACCTTGGAGATCTTGTTCAAATGCAGATGCTGGTTCAGACGGACTGGAATGAACCCCAAATTCTGCATTCTAACAAGCTTCTAGAGATGCCAATAATGCTTGTCTGCAGATGGTCCTGAGAGAAGCAAGTTATAGAGCACCCTGGTGAATGCGGAGTGAGTCAGGGCATGACGAGAGAGAGAGAGAGAGAGAGAGAGAGAGAGAGAGAGAGAGAATCCAGAAGCACATTGTCTCCTGCAGGTACATACAGAGAGAAGGCAGGAAGCAAGATATGTTATTTTTTCATATATTACTGTACTTTGTCCAATTCCCAAGGATTCAGTTACGGTCGTTTCCCTTCAGGACTTTCAGGGAGCTAGAATTCCCTACATGTGTCTAGGGACAAGAAGCAACACCAGCTGCAAGTAAGCCCAAGGAAGCAAGCGGAACCGAAAGACTCCCAGAGTTCTAACATGCCCCACTAGTTGAGCACCAGGCTGGCTCCCTACGACTTTTCCTACCTTCTTCTCACCTACTCCTTCTTCCATGGAGGAAATGATGATTATCTGTGAATCATGCCCAATCTGAACGCCAAGGGCATGTTGGAAAGCTCGGATAATTGAAGCAGAAATATTGGAAAGTGCTAAAAACCAGGCTTCAGGATTAAAGCTAGTGGTTTGATTCTAATTTCTTTACCTACTCTAGAGATGTTCCTGTTATAGAAGCTTTCTCAGTGTTCTGTGTGTTTGTGTGTGAGACAGAAGGTGGGGGTGAATGAGTGCATGCGCCTTCCTCTACAAACCAGCACTAAGGAGAAACTATGATTTGGCCTCACGAGAAGAGTTGGATGAGTAGTCCAATCCCAGGTGGAGTGGGCGCATCTTTATTTCCTTTGACAGAAACTGCATGTTGCATGATGCGTGTGGGTGTCCTCGGGGTAGCTGCCAAAGTTTGCATATTTTCTGACTGACAGGCACTCCTGCTGGTGCTTCAGGGCCAGGGTGGTGAGTGTCGGTGGGAGGAGTAACCAAGTTTCACTTCCTTGTCGGTTGAACTCGCACAGCCCAGCCAACTTCTCTCTCAGAGGAGAGCTGAGGAGCCACGGAGCCCATCTCTCCCTGCCTCTTCCCCACAGCACCTGGCAGGTGCTCAGTGGACGACAGGAGTGCGAATGGGCAGAGCAGAATCTGTAGAAGGGAAGATGAGCACCCAGGACCCTTCAGATCTGTGGAGCAGATTGGATGGAGACGCTGAGCTGCTCCAGGACCTGGGGTAAGAGAGCAGAGCCTCTTTTCAAAGTGCTTCTTGGGTGAACATTAACTCCCCACTCCCGAGCGAGTGCTCCCTTTGATTCATGACCATCTTTAGCACTGGGCCACCCCAGGCTTCTCTCCTTTCCACTTTACTCATTGGATTCTGTTGGGTATCTTCCTGTTGGGGCCAACTGCGTTGTAAAAGCATGTATTATTTTTCCAGGTGTGAAAACAGGTAGGTGGAGAAAATGGAACGAAAATCAAACGCTGGATATTCTTTGAGAATAGGGATGGAAGTGAGTTGTGTGAGTCATTGTTGCTAGGTGTCCTTGGTATTGATCTGGTTTATGATTAAATGTGCTGTTAAAAAGTTTTGAGCTCTAAGCTCCTGGCAGTAAGAGGACTGTACTGCGTGTGGTAAGACAAACAGAGAGCCTACCCTACTATATAGGAGAGGGACTTTTTCAAACAAGAAAGAATGAGGAAGTGTCTGCAGCAAGGTCCCATAACATATGTTTCTTTCTCCTGACACTGCCTTTGTGAGCTCTTGTATGTATCCGTGTCCGCAGGGGCAACTTTGAGGCTTAAATACTAACAAGTCAGGAAGAGGGTAAAATTTCTGCCTCAAACAGATTATAAGTTCACGTAGTTGGAGTCATCACAGTCCTGTCTTTAAAAAGGGACCAGAAGAGACGACTCATCAGGATATTTAATAAAAGAAGCAAGTATTACCCAAGAGAGGAGTAGGGGATTTCCTGGAGAAACTGCACGGCTTCCCTAAAGCCTCGGGAATATCCTGACGGGGCTGGTTTCGACACCTGTGCTTCGCGAGAGGCGAGACCTGTGCCTCCTGTGCTAAGAAACAGCTCTAATCTTCACCACAACCCGGTGACGTAAGAGCTGTTATCCTCTCTGTTTTACGAAGGCAGCAACCGAACACCAAAGGAGTTGAATAACTTGCCTATGGCCGCACACCAATTAAACAGCAGAGTTGGGATTGCAACCTGCCCTGGCCCCCGTTCTTACCCAGAGAAAGAGTGAGACAGGGATGAATCTCTCTGCATGGAGACTGCAGAGGCTGCGTCTTTTTGCGTGGTATTACTGTAGAAGTTCTCAATAAGCCCTGTCTTTAGATTTTAAACTTGAAGTCTCAGAATTGAACTCTACCTTCATAAAGTAAATCAGATAGAACAGCTAGAATTTTCAATAAAGTAAACTCTCCTTGTTGGGAAGTCGGAGCTCCAAGACATCTCTATCCTTCTGGATTGAATCCCCAAACAAAAGAGGTAAAATGCCCCCCAAGCATTCAAAACAGGTGTCACCAAGTCCAGGCATTAAAACTGGACCCTTGGACTCTCACTTAGAGCCTTCTTACATTATTAAACCACAATTCTTTACATGTTTGGTTATCTATATCCCCAGCCCACCATTAGTAGGAAACCACAAAGGAGAAGAGAGACAAAGGAGGTTCAATTCTGGTCCTTTAATTCGACAATCCTGGAGCCTGGGCTTGAGTACTGTTGGCACTGGCTTGGATGACAAAGATGAACTCGATGATGTCACTTCTCCCCACCATAATGCCCACAGGGGAAGCGAGCACGAGGAAACCTCGCAAGGAAACAGAAGCATGTCTTCCCTCCAAGTGCAAAGAATAGGTGTTCAACACAACCCAGAAACATCCAAAAAAGGTGCATTTTTGGTTTTTTTGCTTTTGTTTTGTGAGGAAGATCAGCCCTGAGCTAACATCCATGCCAATCCTCCTCTTGTTCTGAGGGAGACTGGCCCTGGGCTAACATCTGTGCCCATCTTCCTCCACTTTATGTGGGACGCCGCCACAGCCTGGCCTGACAAGTGGTGCCTCGGTGTGCCAGCAGTGGAGTGTGCGCACTTAACCACTATGCCATGGGGCTGGCCCCAAAAAAGGTGCATTTTTGTCCAGACTTTTCTATTTCAGAAGGCTTGGAAATTTATTAAACATTTGAGGATGGTTTCCTACAATTATCTGGAGAAATTGCTCTATAGTTGTGGTTCTCAACCTTGATTGTGCACTAGACTCACCAAAGGAGCTTTTAAAAATTCCTGCCCAGGCCACACGCCAGACAAATGACGTCAGTATCTTAGGGGTAAGCATTTCCTTTTTAAACTCTCCAAGTGATTCTAGAGTGAGACCAAGGTTGAGAGTCACTGCAAAGGACGTAAATCCGTCGGGAACGCTGAGTAAACGTGGCTTTATTTTTCATTTGTTGGGTATGTACCCGAATCTTAAAGCCGTTAATAAACATTGACATTTTGTTTGTCGGTTTGGAAGCATTTTGTTTAACGATTTTATTGAGATATATTTTACAGACCGTAAAACTCACTCATTTCAAGTGTACAATTCAATAATTTTTAGTGGCTTTCAAGAGTGGTACAATCATCACCATAAATCAATTTTAGAACATTTTCACGCCCCATAAGAGCACTCAGGAGCAGGTTTATTTAAATATCCTCAGCGGTGGGCGTGCTGATAAGCCACCTGGGCTGGGGGAGCCCTGCCTTGGGGAGTGGGCTTGCTTCCCTGGTGTAAACACTCCAGCCAAGGGCAACCTCAGGCTGTCCAGATGTTAACAACCCGCTTGCAAAATTCCTGAGAATTTTACAATGGACTTGAGCCAGTACTTGCTGCTCCAGGACATCACTGATATACTTTTTATAGGCAATAATATCTGAGAAACTTGAAAATGACCATTTGCCTCTGGCAGAATTCTGAATAGAAATGAAACTTTTCCTCTGAAGCTTTTAGTCACTGGTGAGGTATGGTCTGTACTAAAACTTCTGATTCATTCAGTTTTTAAAGAGCTCCATAGAAACAAAATGATTTAATGTAGTTGATAGATAAAAGGTGGATGATTTTAATGACTTAATTTTTAAATTATTTTTAGTAGGTTATTTGAGTAGTTAGGTAGATTTTTACATTTATATTTCTGATAGATATGAGCAGACGAGGCCGTGGTTAAATTTGAGCGATATCGTACATCTCTGTTCTTCGGCCCCTATTTTCCTTCAGCCTCTGGAATATGTAAGTTCTGTAAATTAAAGCCTGAACTGCAGCGAATCCTTCACGTTTCCTTCTAGGACACGCACGGCTTGCTCAGAGCATAGGTCTATTCTTTTCTAAAGTACCTAAATCAGGCAACTCAGATGCGTTTCTATGTCTCATTTATAGAGTGCCCATCTAAAAACATTTATTTTCTTTCAGCCTAAATGTATTAATGTGTCCAAAAGCAAAGGGGAAATACAACCGTCTTCAACTGTTGCTGGGCTTCACTTACACTTTGCGGTCTGGGATTGGGGGAAGGGGTGGGGAAGGTAGGTGAGAAGCAAGAAGTGGGCTGGGAACAGAGGTCTGGCTGCTTGCTGCTTTCAAAATGAGACAATGGGGAAATGAAACAAGTAATAAATACTAGAGATGTCACCTAAGTGATAAACTAGTGTAGACTCGTCAGCAAGTTAACAATTTAAAATTCCAGAAATTCTTTGATTATAACAAAGGTTCCTACAAGACAAGGTAGGAGTAGTACAGTTATATAGTCTGTAAAGGGGTAAGCCTTTATAAACTATATCACTACAGACACAAAAGGGATACTGTAAAATCAAAATATTTTAGGGTATTTTCAAATTAAATATTTAAATATCTCATCATACATATTCCCTCGAGAGAGAAATGTAATAAATATTCTCTTTTTTATGTACTTTCCCAAATCTCACATATTATAAGAAAGTGTCAGTATTGGGCTGTGCTGGCCAGTGTCAAGAAACTAGATTCAGAGCTCTGGATATTTGAATAAACCAATCCAAACGTCTCTAACTGCTCTGCCCTTTACCCTTCACACATAAGAGAAGGTTGGAATAGATCAGGGATCAGCAATCTTTTTGTCAAGCTGGGAAATAAATATTTCAGGCATTGCAGACCTTATGGTTTCTGCTGCAACTATTCGCATCTGCCATTGTCATGCAAAAAACAGCCATAGATAACACAGAAGGAAAGGACCGTGACAGTGTTCAAATAGAATATTATTTATGGACTCTGAAATTTGAATTTCGTATTATTTTCATGAGTCACAAAATATTCTTCTTTTTTTTTCTCCCCAACTATTTAAAAATGTAAAGCCATTCTTGGCTCTCAGTTCTTATAAAAACACGTGGCCTGGCAGGAACTGGCCCTCCAGTGGCGGTTTGCCGACCCGGGGAATAAATAATAATAACCAAATTGAGTTCTTATTATGAGGCAAACATTTTGCATACACCAGCTTGATCTTCAAAAAATATTAGTATTCCAACTTTACATACGAGGAGACATTAGCAGAGAAATCAAGTTGCCTAAAGTCCCAGAGAATGTGAGTCCAGAGCCCATGTTTATCCCACCACACCAGGTTGCTTTCCCATTGCAACAGGCATTATTTACTGACCCCTGCTCTGTGCCAGCCCCATGCCGTTCACATCCATTTTGCCATTAAGCCTTCACAATAAGACTTGCACTCTGGTGTGATTGTACTCATTTCCTAGGTGCAAGGGTGACTTCAAATAAATTAAGTGAGCTGTCCGGGTCACAGGCCTCACAAGTGGTGCAGCGGAGGGAATGCTTAGGAGCTTCCCAAAGCCGACGCTCTTCCCGATGATAAAGAAGCTGTGTGTTCTAATAATGGCATTAATATTTATTGGATGCTCACCACATGCCAGGCACTATTTTAAGCCCTTTGCACTTATAACTTATTAAATTCACACATCACTGCGAGGTAGACACTCTCAGTACTGTCATCCTCATTTACAGATGAGAAGAGTCAAGGGCAGAGCTTCCCAAGGTCACGCGCTCATAAACCTTCAAATCCAGGAGTCTTGCTCCAGAGCCCATGTGCCTGTCCACTAATGCAACTTTCCAATTTCCATCAAGTTTCTCGCTTCTTATTATACTAGCACTATTTATGAGTGCTCGTGTGAACTGAGAGGAAAAAACAAAGTTCTATGATTACTACAACCAAC